TGCCCTGTCCTCCGTAGTCGACCGCTGTCTTTGAAGCGAAACGTGGAGGAGGACAAGGCGTTGCGCCATCGTGGTACCGACGATCTGCGCTGCGGGCAGTGGAGAGCGTCCAACGGTCGTAATTCAAATCAGTAGCTTTGGCCACTCACCTGTTTTGCATATGGCGCCATATAATGACCATTTCGTCAAAATGGACATTTTTTATTTTTGAACGAATTGAAACTAAGTTTTTTGGCCGAAAACTCGTTAAAATTGGTTGTTCTTGAGGGTCCAGCGTTTTACAAACGTTGGACCCCCTAGCTGTACATGGACCTAGCTTCAGACCAGGCACCTCCAGCCTCCAGGCAGGACTGCCTGGAGGTACCTGGTCTCTAGCTAGGTCCATGTACAGCCAGGGGGTCCAGCGTTTTACAAACACCGGACCCTCAAGAACAACAAATTTTGACGAGTTTTCGGCTAGAAAACTCGGTTTCAATTTCGTTCAAAAAATAAAAGATGTCCATTTTGACGAAATGACAGTTATATGGACCTGCAGTCGAATTTGTCGGCATGCCGGAGTCTGTGTCCTTTGTGTGTTCAGAACGCTCCCTCCAAAGCGCAGATTCATGATAGACGTGTATCGGAGGTTGCCTTTCCTGGTACTCGTTGTCGTTGTCTTCTTTGTTTGTCGTTTTCCTCCACGTGTGCTTGGTGTTCCGGCCGTGGAAGCAACACCGCAAATGACCTGCATCCACGAAACGGACTTCTGTTGAACGAGCAATGGCGAACTCCAACGTCAGTAGACAAGTAGCGGTAGCGAGTGCACGAGGCTCAGTTAGGGTGCTCCCTCGCCGACTGTACAACCCGTCCTTGTACAGCCATCTGCATCCGCACGAGAAGCCTCTGCCCCCGTTGGACGACGAACAGGAAGCGGAGGAGCTGGCAATGCTACCTTTGGGTAGTGGGTCGACGCAAACGTGGTCGCAGACGTTGGTAGGCGGTGATGCGGGACGAATGGAGGTGGAGAGTGCACATCCCTCTTGCATCAAGGGTTGGAGGATAACAACGATGGACAGGTCGATCTGAGGTTCGGCTTGTCGTCCGGCGGTGCGCCACCAGTGACCCACACCTTCATCATACACCCGGAACCTTCGTCGAGTAACCTTATTCGTCCTCGAAGTGTGCACGCCGAGGAGTCGCCACATGCACACACTTCATCCGTCATTGCTGGTGTCGGGACATCATCCTATGACCGGCAGCATGGCAGGAATGCGATGATCATGCAACATAGTAGAGACGACTGCCCTCCTGCTGCTGGAGTTGAACCGAGCCTCGTGGACATTGGTGGTGGTCGTTTTTTTATGCCATGTACTTAGACAAGGACAATGCAGGCCGACGCGAGGAACGGCGACGGTGGTGAACCGCCACCATCGCTGCGAGGAAGCGTGGAGAACATCACTCGTGAAGTGTCAAACATGTGGGCGGGGAGCGATGGTGGCCGTGACAATGTGCCACACCGCGATGACGACGACGATGGAGACATAGACTCGGAGGACATCAAAGCGGGCGATGACGAAGAGGACGTCGATATTCATCCGTTGGGAAAGAGGGCTGAGAGAGCGAAAGGACGCACGAGACGCAGTGGTCATGGCGGCAGAGCTGGCGCTTCCAAGGACGGTGGCAAATCGGCAACATTTTGGACAACAGAGGAGCAAATGCTCCTCGTCAGATGCAAGCGGGAGCAAGACATGCATTTGGTTGGGCTGGGTCACAATTACGTCCGGATGCGGATGAGGGAGTGGAAGTGGGAGGACATAACGAAACGGTTGGTTGCACTGGGGACGGTAAGAGATGCCGACAATTGCTTCCAAAAGTGCAACAATTGGGTTGGATGGAATCGCGGGGAATTTTTTTTTTTTTTCTTGCTTCGTGGTTTGGTCATCGGAATGTTCGGGTGATCGTTAGGCGCAATCATCGTCGCTCTTTGACCGCTGGAAGGATATGTTTGTTCGCAGAATAAATAATGGTCTGGAGGAGAGCATAGCACTCCGCTTCAGGGTCCTTCGTCGTCGAAAGCTCTCGCCACACGCAAGTGCGTCGGACTCGTCGCCATAGCGGATCCTGCCACCCCAGTCCTCCCTCGCCGTTACATTGCATCCTCACTTGCCCCGCCGTCTCTGCACTGAAGTACTCACCACGTAGCACCCCCGTTGGCCTTCAACTGTCTTCGTCACCATCCTATTGGGGAATTACAGTAAGTGGGCCCTTCGCCGCTCATCTGGTCATCGCCATCGATCTTCTCCATTGTGGTTCGCCATCACCTTGTCTTCTGGAGCATTTTCGTCGGCGCCGCGTGCGTTGTCATCAACGTCATCGCGTCCTTCGCCATCGCCATAATCATCGTGGTTGTGTGGGCGGCAGACGGCAGACAGCGGTGAGAAGTGGGAGAGCGGCACAGAAGAAGCCCATGTTGACATGGGCTGGATTCAGTGGTCGTGTCCGCGGCAGGAAACGAGATGGCAACCAGGAAGAGAGGGGGATCTGATAGAGGAGGGCGACAGGTCTCAAGGGCGAAAAGTGGTCGTCAAGATGCCGCGCCAGGCCGTGTAGCGCAAATGGTGTTGGATGGATGGGGAAGACCAAGCAGGAGCGACGACGATAATGTGTTCACGACAGAGGACGCTCCAGAAGGGGCATATATTGCCGTGGCTCAAGGCGGTCGTCGCCGACACACTGCGGGGGGGGGGGAGCATACAGATTGACCCACCACCGCCCCCGTCGTCCAATGTTCGTGCACAGGGTGGCGGATCAACGGTCCATACACGAACACAGGAGGAACAAGTTATGAATTTGGAGCACAATGAAGACGCGCAATTTGGCGCAAATGGAGGTAGCACCAGTTGGTGCCTCTGTCCAATGTGGGGGATCGACGTAGTTGAAGACACAAACTTCGCAGGCAGCCGGGGGAACGATGCCACGTCAACCAGCCACATCGACGACGCCACTCAGCAACGTGCGACCGAGGGTGGTGGATCAGGTTCTGCGGCCGTGGTTGGTGCGGCAGTGCAAGCGGCGCAACCACACCCGGGCGAGGCGAACGTCTCGGCATTGGCAGGAACATCAAGGGGGGCGGCGGAAGGACGAGGGAGAGAGGAAGTGAACCGGCAGTTGGAGGGCGCGTGATTGGAGAAAAGAAACGTGAGTGAAGATGATGAACCTCTTATGAACATGGTGCGAAAGGGAGGCCTGGCGAAAGATTTGGCAGAGCGGGCGAAATTGTGGGTAGATGAGAAAACGTTCTGGACATTAGGGGAGGGGCGCAGGTTGTACAATATCATCCACAAGACACGTGAATACTTCGTTGCCATCGCCAACGACCTTCCTCTCCCCGAGCTCCCCAAAAGCGTCGCCATGTCAAAATCGAACATGTCGCAGATCAGGCTCACAGATCCAGGGCAGCTGCAAGAAGGGTTGAAGAAGCGTTGAGCCCCGCATCGAAACTTGAGAATGGGGCGTTGCGTGTATTGTACAAATGGGTCTTTAAATCGGGGTCGAGAGCTAGAGGTTACACTATCGCCTTCCAATACGCCCTGGAGCGACGTCGTTAGCCCCATGTATGCACACATACGTTGGACATAGGGATGGACCTACCGCTTTGGTTCGCAGGGGCGCACGTCGAAAACAGACCGGAAGTGCCGCTTGTAGGATAGTGGAGCTCTCAGTGTCGCTTGTAGGATTTCTTGCGGGTTAGGCGGCGATCGGGCTGGTGTGGTGCATATGTTTTTTTCTTCGTGGTAATGGTCGTGTGGCGAACTTTGTATTTGTTTTCCAGGAATGGTTGATGATGATCGATATTCTTTTTTTTATCTCACGACTTTTCCCTTCACGTGTAATAAATAAAATCGGTGTTCAACCGTTGGTTTGTGTGATGTCTGGTGACATTGAGTGTTCAAATGTTCACATATGTGTCAGGTGATTGAGTGTTTCAGGATTTCTGTATTTAAGGTGTGTGAAAAAGTTTGGTACTGTATATGGAGAATGATATATTTATGAGCCAACTGCAATCCACATCCTCCTCGCAATGACATTGCGTGACTGGATTTCGAATCGAAGGAAAAGAAAAACACGAATCGTGTTCAACAGAATATAACGAGCGGCAAGAATTCACGACAACGCAAATACGTATAATTGAAGAGAAATTTCGAAATTTCAAAAACACAAAGGACAACCATGGCAATGAAGACGCGTTAAATTCAATGGTGACTTCACAATCTCACACACACACCCAACAACGCCTTTCACATCCACAACTTTCGAAATGAGCAATGAAGTAGACAATATGAGACGATGACACACAATTCCTTAAACCTTCCATCACTGTCGAAAGACATGAAAGTCATCTGTTCTGCCGTCTCCTTTCTACTAAAAGCGCTCAAAACAACTCCGGCATTGAAGATGGTTAAAGTTGGGGGAGGGCTGCGCTTAAAAAAAAAGGCGAAAAAAAAAACACCTCCAGACTCGCGGCAAATGACGTCACCAACGTCGTTGAAAATGGTCGTACCTACCATCTTCGTCTCCCTGCGAACATGGCATGCGAATGCGCCGAAGACAGACTATCTACCGGACGACTGATCGTGACGTGAAAAAAACAGACATCACCACCCACCCCTGCGATCATAGCTACCACGATTCCCCAAACACTCCTACATCAATGCCAACCGGTCGCGGAGTGCATCCCGCAAGAGGTCCCTGTCGACGTTCTCGCATCGTTGTCGGCCTTGCATGGCGTTCCCCACGATACCCAAGTCCACTCTATGCTGGACCTCGTTGCCGTCGACCTCCCACAACAGGTTTTCATCGAACTCAATCCCCACGTCCAGGAGGATGTTGTGGAGAGTGCAAATGACGACAAACTGTTGAGGCAAGGTTTCCAAGTTCATTTTGTGGGTGCGAAGGAACATGCGCCACATGCACTTCAACCCCCCAAAAGCTCTCTCTAGACAACCATGCACCACCTTCTGCTTCGTGTCAAAGCGCTCCTCATCAGGAGGTTGGTCGACTCCTCAGTACGGCTGCATGATCCATGGACACGCAACGGGGTAGCCGTTGTCACCAAGAAGGTAACCTCGCGTAACGATGTCGTGCGGTAGATTCTCCGATGGGGCGTGGGCGCCTCCACAAATGGGAGTTGTGCAGGACACAGATGTCGTCCACACTGCCCAGGTATCCGACATGGACGTCCAGGATACGCAAGTCAAAATCCACGACCACCTGGGCTTGCATTGAGAACTTTTGTTTGCGGTCGTAGTAGTTATCTGATGGTGAGCCGGCGAGCTTGTCGATATAGATGTGCGTGCAGTCGATTGCACTGAAGCAGTTCGGGAAACCCTTCTCTCGGAAAGCGCACATAATCCACACACGTCTCCGCCCCATCGGCCACTTTATGGTGTCCAGGTACGCCTTCAGCAACGCCGAGGTGACGTCGCGAACGACCAGCAGTCCAATAGCCCTGCCGATGCCGAAGGATGACGTGCCGCTCTCGTAAGTCTCCCCAGATGCCCACCTATACAACGCGAATGCAATAACCTGCTCCACAGACAATGGCAGCCTGTAATGTGTGGCCTTCTTCTCCACTAACGCGGTGCATGCGGCGGCGATCTGCATGAAGACTGGCCTCGACATTCGCAATTTCTCACGGAAATAACTGTCACTCGCATCGTCACATACGAGAAGATCCGCCCACGTTCCACTCGTCCTTCGCTTTATCCACCATTGCGGTGTCTCACACAGGAAGACGCCGGCGGAGAGAGCCGAACACAGCTGCACGACCACTTCAGACGTCGCCACGCAATCCGAAGCTTCAACCACGCGCTGCAGAAACGCTCTACGCTTCCGCAACTGCAGACGCATTTGGCACTGTGTGGACGACCTGTCACTCATCGCGTTCAGAACAGCGGCCGTCACCGCCAAGGCCACCGCCTCCAGCTCTTCATCAGACAGCGCATGGCTGCCGCCACGACGTCCACGTCCATCACCTGCTCGAGTCTCAGATGTCCCGCCTATGCTCGCCGCCGCACAATAGTCCGCTTCTGTTCGCTGCAACACAACACTTCAGACGCCACACATGACTTCGCACTCCAGGCCAACACTGCTCCCTACGAGTGGCAGATCAGCAGCGCCGTCTTTTGTATGACGAATATGGCCACTACACGTCCTCCGGCCCGCCAGTGTGTGTCCGCGAAAATTCAAATTCGAATTTTCGAATTCCTGCCTCCGCGCGCTTTTTACCTCCCCATCATGAACCGGCCATGGCCCACCGCCCTGTGTACAACAGACACGAGGCTGCAATGGGTGGACATCGTGGCGCGGCCCCATGTACGTATATGAAAACAGGCCACGAGAGACCCTTTAGGACAGTTCCTAAAAGCTTTTCTTTAGGAATGTGTGTAACCACGCCGCAGCAATTCCTTCAAAACTTTTAGGACTTGTCCTAAATCTTTTCGAATTCTGTTAGGAGTGTCTAACGAGACCCCAAGTCAGGAATTTTGTTCATCTAGTTCCATCTGGATTCGAACAGATGGCTGTATTTCAACAGTTTATGGGTGTACCAACTGAGCTACGCCCACTAGTGTCTCAGGGCATCCGGGCACGCTCACACTAGTTTATTCCATGTTCCTTTTCCTGTGTTGACAATGCCCTCTGTGCCTCTCTGTGCGCTGCCCTCTTCTGCCTACTTCACTATGCTGCAATCTGGGTGCCCTGGAGGAGAGAGAGAGTGGGTGTAGGTTAGGTTGGAACAAAGGGGGACGGAGGGTATAATCCCCGGGAAAGGATAGCTGGTTGTCTCTTGGCGCATGACATGTGGGGACTGGCATGTGGTTTGTTTCTGCCATGATCTCAGCAAGCGTTGCCTATCCTTGGGTGCCCAGGGAGCTAGCTCGCAAAGCTGCTAACTACACAACAATAACAACGATGCATGATAGTCTGTACGGGAGAGTCGTGGGATGGGGATGATGATATCTTCCTCCCAGAGTAAATGATCACAATTTGTGCAGTCAATTCTCTCCCGTTGCTTGAATTTACAATACGGTTGGCCCACCCGCATCCTTAGGGTTTGTCTTGAAGAATTTCAATTGGGTTCTAAGGATTACATTCAAATTTCAACGTGCGGTGTGTTTGTTAGGTCGATTTTTGGTATGACTCAGGTAGGGGCCACCATTTTCATAATGCGTATATAACCATAGTGCTCTGACGTGTGGATGGGATATGCGAGTGAGACGGGAGTTTCTCTGGATAGGAGGGGTCTGGACACTCTCTCTCACTAGGGCTACATAGGAGGTGAGATGAATCGATGCGCTGCTGCCATGAAAGGGTTAGTCGGACTTAATCCACCATGCAGGGGTTAGTCCACCGCACAGTCTGATGGGCAACCAATCCCCTAGTTTGATGGTCATCAAAGCCGCTCGTCATCTACAATCTTTTTTTTTTTTTTTTTTTTTTTTTTTTTTTTTTTTTTTTTTTTTTTTTTTTTTTTTT